CAATTTTACTATTCTGTCCCACTGTGCGCTGCCATTTCCCACTCCGTTTTGTTGCTCACAATTTGTATTTACTTTTCTGCGCGTTTTTTTTTTTTCGATTTTCAGTTTTTGCGATTAATTAACTGATAACAAGCCTGTTTGTTGTTGTTGTTGTTTTTCAGCTGTCCTTCGTTACATTTAGTTTTTTGGCCAATGTCATTGCAAACGCTTTTTATTTGCGGTTTGGGTCACACGACTTTTCCAGCTGAGCGAACTGCTCAAGTTTTGTCAATTTTTTGATGGCTGTCAGCTTTTTGGGCTTTTGCTTAGCAGTTGATGAGTTTTTGGCTCTCCCACACACACAAACACACACACACCACATCATCATCGTCATCATTATTATTGTGGCATGTTTTACCCTTAAGCTTCCATCATCTCTTTTTGATTGGCACACATCTGCCACTGCTTCTGCTGTTCGCATATCGCATTTCCCATGCTGCGCTTAGTTATTGAACTCTGCTGACCACACACACACTCGACTGCTGCTGTCATTTCCGGTTCCGTTTGGCGTGCTGGCTTGCTTGTGCTGACCATGTCATCGCCTATAAATGCCATCAATAACTTCATCAGCCGCCGAGCTGAGCTGAGCTGCACTTGTTACTGCGATGCTCTGACCTAGAAAGTTGCCAGCCCCAAAGAGATGCCAAAAGTAATAACTGCAAATGGCAGGACATGCTGGGATATTTGTATACGATTTATTGGTATATATACGTGTGTGTATGTGTGTGTGTCTGTGTACAAGTAGTTCACTTGGCCAAACTGATGAAATTCGAGCAGAGTTGCTCTAATGGAAATATGAATATGAAGTAGTTTAGTTTGAGAGACTCGAGTAGAAGTTTATGATTGACTGCATAAAAGGAACTATGGAACTTTGTGATAGACTAATACAGCCAGACTTTGATCAATTCCGAAGCGAGACAGATTCATAAACTGTAAAGTAGCTAAATAAGCAAATATGGTATGCTATTTTTATTTAACTTAAGACATATATTATAAAGCCAACTTATTGAAGTAGGATTTCAGTTTGTTATTATGATACATATTTATATCAGATATACTTTATAAATTGCAGTCCTGCTTCAGTAAGTAACCTAAAAGTCGATTCAATCTTGTTTCAGCACAACTTTTTAAGTAGGCTTAGCTCTTCCATCCGCCTACTTACATCATATATAATGACTGCTGTTCACATTTCGACAAGCTGAAGCTCATGTTCAACATGCGCTAAAGTCTAATCCAATTAAGAAACGTTTCTCAGCTTGTCAGACAACAAGTCATAAGCAAAAGAGAGCAGCAGAACGAATAAGGGCGAGAGAGGGTGGCCAAAGATTTTTTGTGATAAAGCTATAAGACTTTAAGATTCAAAAAGGAAAGACAGGAATACATAACGTATAACATAACATAACGTATCTAACATATATAACATACTTTATATTGACAACATAACATTTCATACATAACATAGCATAACTTACATACATAACATAACATAACATATGTAAAGTTAAAGAACCTTTCTTAACTTTAAGGCCACATTTCAAGTGTGAATGGCTTAAAGAGCGTTGCTGTTGTTGTTGTTGTTGTTGTTGTTGTTGTTGGTTAACATCTATTGATTGACGTCGCATAACAAACCAATAAGAAAATCATCAAAATGTCATAATTTCAATCGAGCGGGCCAAAAAGCAGAGCAGAGCCACTGCCATTGAATGGCATATTATAACTGCATTATGACATGCCACATGCCTATCGACGACACGGCCAATGTCAAGAGCGAGACAGCAGCAAAAGGCGAGAGCGAGAGAGCGAATTTGTTGTACGTCAACTGCTCATGAACTTGGCTCTGCAGCTATTTGCATCTCTCTCTCTCTCACTCCCTCTCTGTAATTTGATTGATTTGCCAGCTGCTCGCAACATGCAACTGTAACGAGCCACTAATGCAAGCATTTAGCGCCCCAAAATGCCATTGTCTAAGCCAGAGTCGCACGCCGTCGCCATAAACTAAACCAAACAACATAAACTTTCGCAGGTTGCCCCCAGCTGCAGCATAGAACTCGCCTGGCTTTGCCTACTTTTTGGCGACCTGTCAATTGGCCGCTAAATGAATTCGTTTCGCAATGGAAAATGGTGTCACCACAAAGTTTCCACTGCACCAAAATGGAAATTCGCAATTTGAAAATGTTTTGTTTGCTTTCTTTTCTGCTGTGTTGGTGTTTGCAAATTGATTGACGACCAAGCCGGAAGTACTGGGCGACTGTTGAGAGTGGCGAAATCCAGAGATTTGCATAGCGAATAGATGGATGTGGGCAGCTGTATATATGAATGTGGAATTTATTTAGCTGGAGTTTATTTGGCTGGAGAGAGAGCTTTATAAGAGTATACTAAGGCAATGGAATAGCAATACTATTATTTAATAAATATTTTAGACGGAGTTAACCCAAAAAGTAGCTTAGTTCCCAGGAAGCAATACAAATATTAGAACCAATTCACTTAAGCAGCTCATTTTAGTAGTTCATTAGTTCATATTTCGTATTACTCAGCTGCTCATTCACTCAAGTACAAATCTGGCTCAAGTAGTTCATGAACTACTTCCGTTCCTCAACAATTGCAGAGCTCATCGAACGGTAAAGTTCAGTCTTTATTACTCATTCATTCATTATTCATTACTCATTCTTCATTGGTCTATAAGGCAATGCAGTAGCTCTCATTTCAATGAGCGGTTCATGCGAATTCCTACTCAGACAGCCCTTAGCCCCATTGAGTGCCTGAAAAACAAGCTCTTTAATATACCAATTATAGTCCATGGTTCAGCGCCTACAGGCAACAAGCTATAGACTCGTTATCCCGCCTCCACTCTCCCGCTCTCTCTCTCTCTCTCCTCGGCTCGCTCTTTTGTTTGGTTTACTAATTAATGATGCTGTCCCTGGTTCAGCGACAACGACCTTGATTTGGTTAGACTAAGCGCCCCACTGTCACATTGACTCAAGGCCGAGTGTCCCATGCATATTTATGTGTGTGCGACTCGCATTTTAATTAGTGCAGAGCATTCGCTGCCCTAGCACGGCCTGACACTGAATAGAATGGAATGCCAAATAAATAGTAGGCATAAAATATTTAAACCGATTGCAGTGGCATCAAATGAGCACGATAAATGCTTGCTGGCCTTGCTGAAGGCTTCCAGGACCTACACTGCGAGAAATGTTCAAAGCT